CACCAACATTTTCCTCTTCAATGATGGAACTTTGCCAACGTAAACTTCAATTAAATCAGATAAATATAAATAAATATATGCTCAACTCTCTATAAATATTATTAAATCCCATTCAATGCATTGTGACTTTCGGCATTGTTAGCCAACTTTGAGTGTTTCATAAACATATCCAGGCACTCAGGTGGCAGCCAAATGCTGTCCGGGCTTAAGCACTGACTCCAGCAACTGCCAAGCGCCAACTGCACTCGAACAACTGCCATAACTGGGCGTATTGTATAACTTTTCGAGGGCCAGCACTCAGCATTGACTTCAAGAGTTTCGTAGTTTCGTTTTATTATCTCGGTTCCATTATATTATTATTATTTTTTATTTCTTTGTGTGGCGCGTCGCACTCAAAAAGTTTTTCTGGTTGCGTATGAAAATCACATTTTTGGGCTCTGCTCTACATAGTCATCCTGTAGTTGAGCAGGTAATTGGGTATATTGAAATGAGCAGGCAGATGTATTAATATATATATTATTTTAAGGAGTAGAAAAGGTGATTGAGGGGCAGGCAATATCATGATTATTTATGTGCCTTTGGTATTTGTTTTCCAACTACGGGGTATATGCCAGGTCACACTTTTCGGTGGCCCTATTGCCTGCCTCTATAGGGCTTCATATGATTAAGGACTTTTATGTCGCGAAGTCTTGCGGATATTATTTAGGCATTTGGGAACTTTGATGGGCTCCATGGGGGGTCGCATGGATCGCACATGCTACGCAGTTGCGTGGCTCTAATCAATGCTAATAAGCCGCTGCGTGTTGACGGGAAATTGAGTGGCGAATATTACGCATACGCACTGTATTACATATTAAGTGAGTGTAAATGGGTGCGCGAGTGTGCGTGAGTGTGCTTAAGTGTGTGTGTATGTGTGTGTGCTATTTTGCCTTTACTTTCACTTTGTTCGATTCATTTTGATCATAAATTTCATAACGTTCACCTTGATATTGTATTCGTTGCGCTTGTTACATGGCTCATGCATTTCACACAGACCATATCGATATATTTATATATATATATAGATAAACAAATTTTTTAAACACGATATTGTTTTTAATGGCTTTTTCTCTTTGTATTTGTCTTTGTGTTTTCTTTTGAAATATAAACCGAATCGAAATGAACAATTCAATTACAAATTGTTATAACCAAATCTGACAAAAACACAAATCAAAAATCCCTATCGGTAATACTGCAGATGAAGAGCCGGAGGTGGAGATACTAATACCACATCACCATCATCATCATGGCAGCAAGAAAATCCGTCGAAATCCTTTGAAAAACTTGGATCTCGATTTTAAATTCGATGTTAATTCGTTTTAGCCAGCACTCAAATTTACCACAACAACAAAACTATCAACTGGTGTGTGTGTGTTTGATAGCTGGGTAATTTGTTGTTATTGTCGTTGTTCAGTTGTTGTTGTTGTTCAGTTGCTTGCATCCCACACAAAAACAATGACAATAAACAAACAAAGCAACCTAGCAACCTATACAATATACATATAAATATAATTGGCCTAGAGAGCACGTCTAACTGTAATTTCTGTGTTGTTGCTCTA